AATTAAAAATTCAGCATCTCTGAGGAAGCGCCAAAGGAGCAAGCCTCAAATGTAGCATATAAGAGGGTTTTCCCCCAGAAAATGTTGGTGAAATAGGATTGATTTGGTGCATTCTCACAATTTCACCAATCATTTTCATTTTGTTTTGTATAATTGTATTATGAAACAGACCTTCAAACCATTAGGTAGTCTCATTTTAATAATTAGAGCAACCGCTTCCTTGAACAAAATATTAATCTTTTATGGTAGCATGACAACATTTTGAGTAAAATGGAAAATAGCACAATGGCATTCTCTTATACAGCATCATTTACAATATTACTGTCAATTTACAATATTACTGTCAATATTTATGGTCAATCGCGGTTTATAGTCGCACCCATATATACAATCTCATGCATTAATTTATGTCGCTCTTCGATGAGTTAAAGAAGATTGTCTAGTCTAAGGAGAGATGCACGTGAATTAAAAAAAAATACATGGTTGGACTACATAAGTAAAAAATAGAAAAATTAACTTGCATTACAACCCAATGACAATATCGAAGTCAGCAAATTCTCAAATTGTTTTGTTTTGCAAATAATACGGTTCTACGGTTTTGTACCATTTTAAGTATGATCAACGTGAGCAAGGCCTTCTGCAGGATAATGTTTCTGAGGGGGCTGCATATAACATTATAATTATTTCCTGATATAAAATACCTTAATTTTGGACAAAACTAACCTTAAAAGTAAACACGTCAGACAATAACAAAACAGGCCGCTGTGATATCCCGTTATAAATCAATATTCATGTCTACTTCGAATCGGCCTGAAACATTGTGTTCACGTAGTCATTATAATCGACCACCGCCTTAATTATTAGCTGCCGCGACGATTATTTGATAGAAATTCGACAGCCAGCGTCAAATGGTCTCGGATTCAATAAGTCCCCGTGTCATTTGGTTGCATTTTTCACACACGTTTAATTATTTATTATTTTGAATGAAATGGTTGACAGCAAGACTAATAATGACATTGATAAGTTATTTCCATATCACTTATTGAATGATATTTGTGCTAACTTTATTTAACAATATTTAATGTTATCGGCGTTACTCTCTACAAGTTCTTTTTTATTATCTAGGTCTGGATCGACATCATTATGACAAGATAAAAATAAATATTCAATAGATGGGTGAATTTGGTTTCAATTTTTAGAAACTATCGTCCCCTTCTCCTATAGTCTATCGAGCCCGACTGAAATATGAAACAGATTGCCAATGTTTAAGTGGTATAGTTTTCTAAATAATTGTTAATAGATAGATAGAAAATTGTTGATAGAATTCAATAAAAATACAGCTTCCCTAATCACTCTTTAGAAATAATTTCCGGCGACCAGTTCTCGTGAAATTCAAAGAAAAACATTCCTTTGAAGTGCAGATTGTTACAATTCCAGGATACTATTAACTTCTCGCATACAGATAGACATTATTATACCATCAACATGTGACAGTCATCATTACACCATCATCATGCGACAGTCATCATTATACCATCAACATGCGACAGTCATCATTATATATACCATCAACATGCGACAGTCATCATTATATATACCATCAACATGCGACAGTTTATATATAACATGCTGGAACAATATCTAAAGATTTGGGAAAGAGACTAGTAACACAAATCAACCCATTTTTATGACGATAAGAAAATTAACTCTTTTTTACAAGTATACCAATCAAGGATCCCTCAATTGGCCTAGCCTCTTGACATTGATCTCTCTGGGTTATCAGTACGAATATTGTGAAAAATTGACTTTCACACCCTGACAAAGGCCTACTGCATTTTCCGTCTATTGAGGATAATCTGACAATCTTAGGCTACACGTCAATGAGAATGCTGTTCGGAATGGCCTCAAATGCGAGGAATTTAGTCCTTGTTTTTCAAAATATTCTTGGTTGGGTGGTGGGGGCATCTCCAAACCCTCCCCAGTGAGTGTCCGATGCATGATTTCAAAACTTAATTTTGTTTTCAAATATTCGTATATGGGAATCTCCCCCAAGTAACCTCCTCAAGGATTGAAAATATTCTTGATCAACAGTTTTATGTTCAGATGCAAGAATTCAAAACTTTCAAAATATGCTTGATAGGGGGATCTGAGCGTCGTATGCCGTCAACGAGAATGCTGTCCGAACTAGCCTCAGATGCCAGGAGATCAACCCTAATTTTAAAATATTTCTTGGGGGGAATTTCGTTAAAAACCCTCTTCAAAAGACAGCTTTTCGGATAAGGAATCTGTTTATGAAAATTTTTGTCGGTCATTATTGGAATGAAAACTGGCAAAATGAGTGCTTTTGGGGGGGGGGATCCTCTCGTAAAGTCAGTGTGGCAGTCAACATGGCATAGAACTTTGGCAGCATTTCATGTGAAGCAGGTGGCAGGACGTTCTTCTCAAGGTAATGTTGCTATTGCACCGATCTTGGCGGATAATGATGTTGATGAGTCTAAGATAGTTGAGTCAGATGAACTAGGTTTTGATGAACCAGCTGTCCAGGAAATGACAATCGAATCCACTACTGTCTGAGCTTCACCATTTTCACTCTCCTATAGCAGAAGACAATCTACCCCAATACTGCTTGAGCTAATCCCTGTCCCAATGTCCTAATAGATGACAACTGATCGAGCTATCCCAACTATGCCAACTCAATTCTACTTAGCAGAGCTCTACTACCGACTGAGCTATCAGCTTCATGCCGAAGATGGTAGCCTAATCCAACTCACTACGATATGCATGTCCCACTCTGACGATAGACTCAACTTAATGAGCTTTGATCATTGTTTATACTGATTTAAAATGAGGCTTTTCCTATTCGAGACCCTCATGATAGCTCTCTGAAGTGAACACATAATAAATCAGAAATCAATAAAGGGTGACGAATTCGACAACCATCCCGGTAGGTAGGTAGATGACAAGTTAACGTTCGTTTTCAGCGGCAACCATCCCGTCGCCCCTAATGCTTTTATTGTGAAGTGCAGCCTCAATTCGACAATTGATTCCGAAGTCTCATTTTGTGTTAGGCCTAACGCACCGGTATTTAAAAAATTTCAAGGAGTGGTAGGCTATATATAAGCAACCTTTTAAAACTAATTATGCCAAACGATACTCTAAAATCAGCATATTATTTATCTGAGCTCTTCGTGCATAATTAATTAATAATGTGACATATCACAATGTTAGCAAAATGTGTAGCTCCATTCAGTCAACAGATTAATGACATAATATATCTAAGCTGGATAATCAGGACTAGATTTAAATAGGTAAAGAGAGATAACTCTTGATTAAAAATGGTGGGCTAATTTTTTTTCTTCCTTATTCATTATTTCTTAGAATGATACAGTAAGTTAAATTTTTATGAGTAGTTTTTCTCTACATTATTTTGTTTATCTATCGATATTATTTTAACTATAGGGTATATATAATTTATCTTTCTTATTATCTACGATGGGATTGAACTGACGTGACGACACTGACTCAGGCAATTCATTAGCCAGGGTTAGGAATGAGGAACTGTACTATGTCCTATGGACCATACACAAACAGTAAACATATTCCTAAATCATACAGTATCTCTTTAAAATGATAAGATGGCTAATCTATTATAGGTCTACTTACGCTGACATGAAGAAACAATTGAGGAAAACTATTGAGTACCGATGAGTGATGAGGAAGTAGGGTAGAATCTCAAAATCCCAAAATCCCATTTAACAACAAACTTATATTGGAATATGCCCATACTTCCTATTTATTAGAAATAGATTAAGATGTTGGTATGAGACTTACAATATCACTGAAGTTGACTCAATATCATTTTGTACTATTATATGACAATATTTTCATCTAGCCAATACCAAACTTGAAGCTAATGATCTTTGCTTATTTTACCTGTTTTAGGGAATGAAAAAGACTGTTGCGTTAAGCAATGTGATTCAATAAGCATCATATGACGTAATGATAGGAAATGAAGCCATTGACGTAGTTTGGTTCATGGATGAACTGTTACTGATGTTACTCATTGTGTTACTATTACATTTCTGTTAACCTGTTAATTTTTCTGACTGGTTTCACCTATTCCTCAATGGTAGAATAGTGTCAGTTTATCTCTAAATTCTACTCCTGTATCATTAATATATTTTCTTAATTGAAAAGTGTTGTTAAAAGATTAAGTAAAACAAATATCTATTTAACCTGTAGTTTCAATTTTTTTTGTATATTGCGTCAGTACAAGCAATAAGTTTGCCTGATGCACACTTGAAGACAAGAAAATCCATTAGAATATATCTCTATTTTCTACTTAGTTAAGATATAATATAATGGCTTAGTAAACCCACTCATTATGGATTACTGTAACCTACACATAATTTATGTCCCTCAAGGCACAAGGCCAAAATTTCTACAAAGCATGTGATTGTCCTTAATTAGTCAAAAGAAATTTAATAAAACATTTCAACAATCGATATTCTCAATAAGTGCATAGAATTTGTGAAATATTAGGACTAAACTATTCACCTACAATTTTGTGGTGCCAGATCAAATAGGAAGTTTAAAACCCTTTTGAATATCTTCCTTTATAAGACAATTATCTGTAAACTAGACATATATACATTACCAACTAGGACTGACACTATAAGCTTACCTAAATCAAAACATGTTGTAAAGCCTTTGGCAGTGAAGCAGATGCGATTCAAGTGATAAAAAATGAATTGACTGCTCTGTTTATGTTTTCAATCACTCCTGGATGTGCACAATGTCAATGTTCAACTGTAGATGCCTAATAATACAACAGACTGATTATATCTATTTATTGAATTTTCTCAGATGTGCACATCTTTTGTGACCTACCGTAGCAACGTCATGCATGGAAGTCGGTTCACATATGCTTGTAAACAGGATACCGAGACGGATATGTAAACAAGATTATTTTCTTTTACAGCTTTTAGTTAATGAGTGTAATGGATGAGCTATTTGCTATTTATGAAGCTGTATATCCATATTTCCCCCAAGATCACAGCCATGATGATAGTCACATGACTATCAGAAAGGGTGATAGGATTAAAGTCAGCATACCAAACAGCAAGTTTGATTTATCCGAACAAGACTGGTTAAACGGATCTAACCTAGCAAGTGGATCTCGTGGTTTTTTCCCTGCAAGTTATGTGAAGTATATTGAGACTCAAGGCAATCAACAAGCAAGTAAGTTATTTTAAGATTCATATTTCAGTGTTTATATAGATTGGTAATGATAAGTGTTCAATGAGGCAATTTTATTCAGGACAGCTGCATATCGAGATACATATCATATCTGGACCCTAGTATCGTGATATGTATCCTATCATGTCAAGATTGGGGATACCCAGCACTATGGTCTACTACTGTTAAAATAGTGCTCAATACATCAAATGAAGTTGGACAAGTAGAACTTATTCTCATTTCATATCTACACTTCGAGACGAGTTTGAAACGTTTGTTCACAGAAGTGTGCTTTAGGGAAAGTTTTTCAATTAAACACAGTTTGGTTTTATTTGTGTTGGCTTTAGCTCTGCTATCAATGGACCAGTTCACAGATTCTCGAAACGATCTTAGCGCTATGATGTCCTAGATTCTTCTAACATTGATTCTAGGACATGCTAGCATTAAGATCGTTTCAAGAATGTGCCCAGGATATTTTGTAATTATTATGTTCAGTCTTAAGTTGCCAAATGTGCTTTGACAGTTCGGTGCTATTTTCATCTCATTGATGTTTAAATGACTGCATGTAATATCTTTGTTTTAACGTGTCAGTCAGTCCCAGATATGTTTTAGGTTCATCTTTGTCAGTGTTTGTGACTTCTGCCTTGTAGAAGTTTGTTATTAGTTCGACATTAGTATTTAGTGAACATAACTCTTTGTTCCTTCATACCATCTATTCACAAGTCAATTGGTCTGCCGAGTGTGCTCTTGTGTTTGTAATGCGCAGATGGTAGACTTTTAAGAAGAATTAGCATGATAATGAAATAAAAGCCTTTAATAAACTTTGGGTTTTTTTGGGTACCGGTATATATAAGAATCATACTATGCTAACTTAGTAACAACAATCCAGTTAGTTCTGGACAAACATTTTTTGACAGCAAGCTGTGAACACTATTACTGATTAGCTTAACTAATAAAATTCTCGTTTCTAAGATAAAGGTCTGATTGGTCAAACTGATGGCGGAACCTTCGCTTCAAAACTAGTTTGGAATAGATTGGAATATGATGAATTTTTTAATGCAAGAATGATATTAGGCCTAGAAATAGTCTGAAACATCTGCTCAACTCCAACCTCTGATAGTTGGGTCAGAGTAGGGTCAGAAAAACATGACCTCACCTTCGGGGATTATCCATTTTACTACTTCAATGGATGGATGTGCCATTGTTTGGACTAATTGTACCTTAGTCTCAGAAACAGGAATTTGTTAGCTAAGCCTATTAGAAGTACAGTATTTCTAGTTTTTGAGAAGACTATTTACAAGAAGCAAATCAACAGCCTAAAATGTCTCTATACACACAAATGTACAGTTTTAAGGGAATACTAATAGGAATATGGGACATAGAATAAACCAAAACAGTGGAGGGATTTAACAGATATACAAAATATAGAAATGTACTATGGTTAATGGCATTCACTGGTCTATTTCATGCAGTGAGAATATGGAATTATTATATGAAAAACTGATTTCTTGTGAATGGTTGTGCATTTTTTGAAGTTTTCGGGTCCTTTCTTTCAGTTTAAAGTTGATTTTATGTCCTTCACATTTTTTTTTATGATATGACAGCCCTTCAAACTTGTCATGAAAATTGGATATTTCAAACCTTCAACATAAGATGAATGGGTCAATCTCCGTCAAACTTGACATATCAGAAGACAATTATAATGCGAAGATTCTAATTTTTTATTTTTCATTTTTTGTTTATGCATTTTGATGGTAACCATGGAGATGTATCAAATTTAAGAAATAAACCGAAAAGATTTTCCAGGGACCAAACTAATTGGAATTTCTAAAAAGATAAACATTATCTGCATTCTGGGCCTGAAATTTACCGTTGTGTTGAGTAACTGTTAAAACAACCTACTGATTTCAACGTCTTTTTTTTATTATCATACTCAGGGAATTCCCTTTCGCTTCCAAATTATTTTTCTTAGTTTTTTCATGCATTGCAGTATCCCGTTCTGTGGAATTTTGTTTCGTTTATTATTGCTTTCTAAAGCTACACTAACCCAGTTCAGGTAAAACTGTGTCCCAACGAATGAAATTGCCATGCTTTTGTTCAAATCTAAATACCTCATTTAGACTCTATATGTTTCTATAATTAATGGCTAAATATTTCGGGTACCAAAAGACGCAGGTAGGAAAAACTTTCACACATAATTTTTTTCTTTACATTTGTGAATACAACAGAGCAACAGACCAGTTCATGACATGATATTTTCTCACACAAGTCATGGAAATAACTAAATTTCATTCGATGAAGGTCTGTGATATTCGGTATTTTCATTTTGTGTCATCTATTTTTGTAGTGGTACTTTGATACTTGGGGTGTTTGGGTTGGGGCTTAGAGTAGTTATTTTCAAGTTTTTACTGAATGCTCCTATATTTTATTGGCTGCAGAAACAGGTATTCTGATACAAATTATTATGATCCTAAAAGAAATTGTTAGCATTGAACACTTATTTTTGTCCGGTAGCAGATAATGTCATTTTTTGTGCAAATTGGAATCTCCAACCCACAGTCTCTTCAGAACCTAAAAATCCATTCGACCATTTGAGACGATTTAGATAAAACTTTGTATACATATTATATGTTTTTTGGTGAGATCTGAGAAAAGTTTAATATTCAGCAATTTGACTCAACTTTTTTTGAATTATTGATCTTAATTCTGGACGATAGTTTCTTCAATATCTTCATTATTAATGCATTGTACTACAATATATTGCCTAAGGGAGATAACTCATATTTTTCATTACTGCATTTAAAATTACAAGGTAAATAGACTAAATCCAGAAATTAAGTATGGTGAAGACTTCAACATCAACTTGAAATATTAATAGACATTACATTCAACTTTTGATTGTAACTAATTAGGATTTGAGAGCTTATTATTGACCTGATTATATGGTCATATATATAATAGTGATCAGGTCAGTAAACTTAACATACGTAATAGGTTTATCTGAAATAAATGACAAAATATGAAGGGTAAGTAGATTTTATTTCATGATAATTTTTTCACCTTTTCTTATACAGTTTTTTTGAATAGCATTAAAGATGGATTTCCTTATTTTTTAGTGTCAAATTAAGCAAACTATTTGATTAATTTGGGTTTCTAATGAATTATCATGTATTCTTAATCATATCATTATGTTCTTATCGTATATGATTAAGAGTTTCAACCAATCTGGATTAAAAAAATAGAAAACTTTTTGACCTTTCTTGATCGGTCACTCATTGGAATTCTGTTGGTAATCCTCTTTTAATTAAGCTAATTATGAATTAATTATAGACATATGAGACAAACTGGTATTTTCCAAATCATTAGAACACCTCTACTTTCTATTCATATAAGTATTAGCATTTTCATTTTCATAAATAAAAATAAGGGAACCTATTTAAATTTTACGAACAGTGTTTCAAATATGTGCTAACTGTTTCTAAATGATGACCAAATTTGAAAACTTGGATGATTTCTGTAACCTAGTTTTGGTCATATTTCCTACAATTATTTATAGTGGCAAAAATATTTAGTCTAATAGCAGGATGGAAAAATAATTGGACCACATGATTGTAGTTAGTTCTATTTTAAAATGTAAATGGTTGAGAATTGACCAAGACAAGTTTTAATTTGATGTTTAAGGAAAAGCATCTGCAATTATATGATCAAAATTTTTGGCGTTGTGTTTGTGGGTTAAAATCTTTGCTGTAAATGTGTTCGGGGTGTGGAGATATCCACATAGATAAAGATTTGTTTTATTGCCAAAATAATCAAAAGAATCATATTAATGTGGCAGTATGTGTCAATTTAAGGGATATATTTTGATGATATTTGTCACAAAGAATGAAGCTAATGGTGAAAAGTAAGGCTGTTTTTGAAAAAGTTATGATCAAATGAAGTTATTAAAACAAAGACACTGACATTTATAGAGAAACTTATTTTGATTTCATAATGTTAACAAAAACCACAGTATTACTTTAAAGTTGGAAGAAAGATCAGTTAAAATTAGATCTCCATTGTAATCTTACAAGTTTTCTACTGCAGTTGCGTTCCAATGCCCCTTTCTTGACAATGATGAATGGTGGATAAGTAAAAAAATATCAGATAAAAACAAACTTTTTATATCTAATATTAGATTAGCTCTTAAGTTAAGAAACTATCATGTCCTTTTGTTGCTTATGTTACTGTTACTAAAAAACTATCTGTCCTTTGTAACCCAGTTTCTTCCTATCATTGATGACTGACTGTGCCCCTGTGACTGTGCATATTGATGATCCATCGATAGTTGGAAATCAAAGAAGTGGGAGCTTTTGTTACTGTGGTTGCAAAATTTTACATATTACACACTGTCTTTAAAGGCTTCAACAGGAGCAGGGATATTTATCTCAGTGATTCCATTTTAGCCAATCTTGTTTGACTTTGAATGGTTTGAGTTAATGCCCTTGATTTGTCTACATTGTATCTAAAATTGCCTTAACATTTTGTGTTAGGCTTTGATCAGAATTTGTTGAAATTGGATATGCTAATGTATTAATTAGGTTTTAGTCCATATTTTGATTTTTGTATATTCATCAGGTTATTGCTCTATAGTTCTACAAAAATGTCAATTTGATCTGAGCTATGATTATATGCACAGGTGTGATGAACTCTAATAAATTGATATGAGAATTGACATTGTCAAACAAAGCTTCTATAATATTTGGCAGATTTGTCTGTCATCATGAGTGTATAAATTTGGTAACCATATATCCCTATACAATATATATAGTGTGGTTCCCTTGTACCTTCTAATGAAATGAACTATTTATGTATTCACCTAGCCTTAGGTTCTATGTTATATTCTTATTGATTTTTATAGCAAGTTTCATATTAAGTTTCCAGTTTTTTTTAAACTGTTATATGTAATAAAGAGAAGATGTACTCTTCTTAACTCAACTAACCATAGTCGCTGTATCTCACTTTCATCTTCTTAAAGATTGTTTCACATAGGTATGCATGTATGTGAAGAAGTCAACCTTAGATTAGTTTTGTACCAACAGTAAAATGTGGGTCAGTGTGTCGAGCTAAAAATAACTGGTGGCCTATGTCACTATTGATTTTGACTAGGTTATTAATTTATTTCACAGATGTAGTTGGATCATGGATAGCTAATAGATCACTAACAGCCTTAAATTCAATCTGCATGGAAAAATGTGTAGGATCCACCACATAACTTGTGGAATTTTTACCGAAAGACATTGAATATGTGAAATTTAGATAGAGAAAATAGCATGAAATAACTTGTAAAGACTTGACATTAGTACGCCTTGTTGTCTGTTTTTAAACCTAAATGTAGGTCAGTAGAACTTCTGTAGTTGGCTGGTTGGTAAAGTGTTATGTGATGGATGATACCTCTTAAATGACTTAATTCACCTTTTCTGGACATTCTTATAGTGTAGCTAAGATGTGGAAAATTGGATATTATTGACCGTTAAAACAATTAATGACAATTCTGACTGTTCATAGTGTCATTTCTTAACTTAACTGAGACCTAAAAAACTGTGAATCAAATGATTTTGAGGAGAAATCGCTTCTAAATTCAGGTACTTGTACTATGTTTGTGTTATATTACATGGGATAGTGAGCGAAAGTAGGTTATGGAAATTTGTTCATGCCTATGTGCAACGATTTTCTTCATTTGGTAGCTGAATAGTGAATCCAACGCAACTTCCACGATTTATGTTAATACTCTGTATCCTATTGACCGACTAACTTATGTGCTTACATTCGAGAGCTACTCAGAGATTTTAATGAAACTTTATTTTAATTCCTGTTCAAGGGAATTGAAATTCTGCGCCATTTAATACGTTTGATTCAACACACTCATTTGCCTGTTTCTTAATTTAATTATTTTAATCATTGCCTTTGTAAATCTCTCTGCTATGTTACGCAATGGCCTATCATTCATATTTAATTATTGAGAAAGTCCAAGCAGGGTGAAAGAGTTATGGTGGAGTCAAGTCAGTCAAGAAAGCACTGGCAGAGAGCAATAATTATTGTGATAACTAGGAGAAATTAATGTTAAGGACTGTACGTCTGAAATGGATTGATCGTATGATATAATGTAATACATATAATTTTTAAAAAATCTCGGCTTTCACCAGTGCCATATCTCCTTGAAGGGGTTAACAACTTTCGAACAGTGTTAACGTCAATACTTCAATCTGACGGCAGGGTTGGTACACTGTTATTTGTTGCAGTGGAATAGCTCAGTCTTTAGCGAGTTGGATTGATATTGGTAACAAAATTTATTATGCCTGTACCAGTGCTTCCAAAAGTCAGATTTCACCCCCTGATACCTAGGATAAGATAGAGAGAATATGGGTTAGGATGGATTAAAAGGACTGCCCTACCTTTCATGATTTAATTAAATATTATACTGCAAGCTCTCATTGGAAACTTTCTGACTTTCACCTGGTCTATTATACATATTTTGATGATATTGGTGATAGGGATTTTCCATCAATTGAGTTAATTTCCCTGCACGAGGAATTTTCTAGAAAATTTCAGTTAAAAATTTGCTGAATCTTGATCATAGCTCTGAAAATAATTTTATAAACTTTATATATATTTTAGAGTTAGTAAGCTCAGTTCTAATAAAGCCGCTGATTATCTTAAAGTAGCTATCCTAGTTAGATCTGGTGTTGGAAATATATAGAATATACCAAGATCTCCGAAATATTGAGCTTCATATTTGTAACATGTTATTGTCAAAAGGCATTTTTTAAACTTTGAATTTTCCTAAATGTTCATTGCTCCATTTTCAGAAGATTCCAAATTAGAGAAATATAGTAAATCAAAAAATTTTCTTAACTTTTCATTTAACTATGTTACCTAGATTCTTTGTTATTCTACCTATTATTTGATAAAGTTATTTTACACTAACAGAGAAGCTATAAAGTTGATATTGTGTACATTTTAGAAAGTTAGTGGGTGTTTGTGGAATTTGTCATTTGATGATATTTACCATTTATTCCAATCTCCATTTGAAATGTTTACATGCAGTTTCATTTCAAGGATGATTATTTTATTTATACTTTATATAAATGTTACCTGAACAGTTAAAAACCTGTAAATCTATTGACTCTTTTACAAGGAAGTTAAAAACAACTGTGTGTGTGTATGTATATAGACATTGACTATAATGTGGAAATATTTGTGTTTGTAAAGCGCCATTGAATCCTCAGTGCAGTAATGAACTCTATACAAAGTTCAATAATTTTAATCTTACAGCCACCTTATTTGATTTTTTCAGGGCCACCTCGACCTCATCGTTGGGTAGAATCATATGTTAGTAGACCAGTATTGTGTCATCATTGTAAGTATTCGTTGTTTTTATTGGTATATTTTAGTATTTTATTCTGGAACACTGATGGGTCATTCAGGCACCTTTTTCTAAAATTTGTATATATTGTACTTTCCCTTAGAATGAACATAAAATTTAAGTTTTCTAACTTGACCAATCTTTGGACCTACCCAGTGTCATAACTTTACAACAGAATCTCTCTTTGTTCCGATAAATCAATAAAACTAAGTGATTATCCTTAAAACTATAAGTAATTATTTGAAAATTTCTTCGGATTATATATTTATCAGATTCAACAGGGATTCTGTTAACTATTTATGCCACCAGGTAAGTCCACTAATGAATATAAACTCTTATTTGCTCAGTTTGAAAGTAAAATTGTACGTGAATTCTAAGAGGTAGTATCTCTTTAGATAACATAATTAGAAAAGATAACATCAATTATATGTAAAGGGACAGATGCACCATTTTAGGGGGTTGATTTTAGTCTTCAGTATATGTAAATAGTCTTCAGAAGTATTAGAAATGTACGAAAATCACATAATCACTTAAAAAATACTTCAAACTAGGAATTTTACTTACTATTTCTATAAATGTTTTTGCTATATATCACAGAGTATCTTAAATTGACGAGTCATCATTTTAACATTCAAACACAGATAATTCTCGACACACACGGATTTGAAGGGTCAAATTCACTATTGAACACTATTCTGAGTGAGGCTTAAAGTGGCATTCTACTTTTTTTGTAAAACGTTTTCATCATCAACAACGTCGATAATTATACCTGAAAATATTTCTAAACTATGTTATTTATATCTATGAATCTACTTGATCAAACAGAATTTGTTTTAAAAGTGTTGATTAAAAACGAGAGTACTAATTGTTAATTAAGCAGTTAGACTTAGTTTTGGTGTTTGGCTTTTTAATGGCTTGTTATATTCAGCTGAAATCTTTAGAATGGCTGGATTTTATCAATTAAAACTTTCATATATGTTATGGGATACATTTCTCTAGATTTTGGTTTATATTTTTCACAAATTTGAGCAAAAAAAATATTCAACCGACGAAATTAAGCGGAATGTTCTTTAGAATGATTCGTCAAAATAAATGGTGCATCTGTCCCTTTAATCGTATATTTTGGGTATAAAAGATGAAAAATTATTTTATAGGTGGTGACTATATATGGAGTTTACGAGATAAAATAAAAGAGTGTGAAGGTATATATATAATTGATATTAATTTATATAACAATAATTATATATTATAAACATGTCTGTGCCTCAAATGTTTGGTAATTTTAGTACAATTGACCAACTTTCGTTAATTAGTATTCAGGGTCCTATTTAGATTGAAAAATTTGACTAGCATTTTTTATCATACCAAATTTCAGTTTTGGCTAAAGTTATATTTCGATAGGCATTTCAAATAAATTCTGTAGCAGTTCAAATTGTTTCATTTGTAGACTTCAAATCTATCTTGTAAATCATGTATAGATGGCCTATAATTGAAACAAATCTTTAGATTTGACAGAAAAATCTCACGGAAAATATACAATTTGATTTGATTCGCATATCGTTTTGATATATTATAATTTTGGCTAATCATCGTGAATCACAGATCTCAAAATGAGTCATTTCGACTTGCTTAGTGCAATGCGATCTGCTTAATTGAACTCTGTTAGGTTTGAAATACTACCAAATTTTCGTAACAAGAAAGAAGCTAAAGACAAGGAAGAAAATATGCTTGAAACTTTGGGAGAAAGGTTTCTAACATCCTCAAAAATAACTTTGAATTATGACTATTGAAATGACATCAATATGAATGATATTTTCAGGTTGTGGGAAATGTTATCATAATATTTGTTTTTCCCTAATTGGAAATTCACAATGTACAACATATGATGGATTAACAAAACCTGAAGTATATCTGCATCCTGTAGTAAGTAACTTATGAATTATATTAAAGGGATTGTGAGAAGGTTTGCATAAAACCTTTATGAGTATCATATCAATTTACACCATTCCAAATTTCAGTCAGATGTCTCTGGTTTCTGTAATTCCACTAAAAATAAGTTTGTACCATTCCAATTTTCAATCAGATGTCTGTGGTTTCTGCAATTCCACTAAAAACAAGTGTTTGATGATGTCACTAATTGTGACATATTTTTTTTTTTATAAA